TTGGTATTGCTGGCGCCAAAAAAAACAAAACAATATTGCTAATAAAAGGGGGAAAAAATGTCGTAAATTAATTTAATCTAATCCACGTGTATAATGAGTGATTGGGACTAAATTATATTAACTTGTTGCTTTATATAATTTATTGGTGAAATATACGCTAGCCATGTTGGTGGTACAGCTGCTAGGTATTGAAAAGTTCTAGTCTGACTTATACATATATGAGATTTTTGTAATTAAATTTCTGTGCTAGTTTGTGTATAAGTTTTTTGCAGGATGGTAAATCACTAAGTTTGTTGGTATATTCCTGAGGAGTGTATTTAGATAGCTGCAATGCTGTTTTTATGGTTATGTGCTGCTGCTGTTGTTGGATTTTATTGTTTACTGTATCGGGCGTGTTACAAGTAACAGGACATCTGTATTCGAATAGGGGCCTAATTTATGCTTTGTAAATGGTAAGAATAGAGTGGCTATTACATCCCTTATTCATAACCTCAATGCTTCGGAGGTATGATAATCTTGTACTTGTGTTTTTCAGAACGGTGTTGACATTATTAGTCCAAAGCATGCGTGTGTAAAGGGTCATTCCTAAGTATTTGGCTGTTGTTTTAAATATAACAGGGTTTTTTGTATAATGTTGCGGAACTTTTTGTGGTGTTTGCCTTTGAAACACTGTAGCTTGGGCTTTAGTAGGGATAAGAAATATTGTCCATTTGTTACACCAGTGAGTACTTTTATTTGACACGTCTTAGACTTTGGCAGCTCCAGCTAGTGGGTAACGTGATGCACTCCAGACTGCTACGACATCGGCGTATTGGGAAGAAACAGCGTATGCTAACTTCGGAAACGGTATGTTGATGATAGAAAGAATGTAGATTAACGGGCTGAGAACTGAGCCCTGCGTAACGTCTGCGTTTAATACCACACCAATTAACTAAATAAGTAAATGACTATGCATTAAGATCACACTTGTCAAAGAAATATATGATGTTATGCTGAAACCACATATCCAAGAAGCAGATGGCTGTACGTTAGGATTACATCTGTTCGAGTGGTTGAAGACTGTATATTAAGATCACAGGTTCGATAGGTTGATTATTGTATATGAATATATGAAGACCATACATGTTTGATAGGTTGATTATTGTATATGAATATATGAAGACCATACCTGTTCAAGAGATTGATGATTGTACATTAAGACCACCCCTTATCCAGAGGTTGATGTTTGTGCATTAAGACCATTCCTGTTCGAGAGGTCAACGACTTTATATTAAGACCACACCTGTTTGAAATGTTGATGTACGTATATTATGACAGCGATAGCACAACGAAAGTAGTAAGCTGTGAGTTTCAAAATGTATGAAATATCATCTAAAGAAATATATGTCGTATGCTTTCATAACCACTAAGGATGTATACTTGTGCTTCCAATATCACATAAAAACTACTTACTATGCTAACATATACTGACGACATCGTAAAAACGAGTAGTAACCAATAATTCACTATTAAACTAACATATTACACTAGTTTCATTGTCCATGGTGGAAGTGGGCAGAGCGCCACATGTGAATTGCGAGGTTGTAAATGTATTATTTGTATTTATAAGAGTGGCATTGTTTCCGTGCTATAACAAAATCCTATCTTTAAACGGTTTGTATTTCAATTCAAAACCCTCTATATATAAGTATCAAAAATATTTTAACGTTACCGTGATAAAAACGAATATTTAGACGTAGAGATTTGACCTTCGAAATCCTTATCTTGTGAACCCTACACTTGTGATTCATGGGGGTATAGTGATGGGTTTGTTAACTAATAACAAACATGACAGTTCTGGTACTATCCTGTCTCTTATCAGATGCAGCACAAAATAAAACTATTGTATTGTTTGTTCTTCTCTAATTGTTAGTTAAATCCGTCATAAACAGCTTACTGTCACCGAGAGTTAGCTTTCAGTACTGAGAAACAAACAGCTTACTCTAACGGAGAGTTAGTTTTAGTACTGAGAAACAAACAGCTTACTCTAACGGAGAGTTAGTTTTAGTACTGAGAAACAAACAACTTACTCTCACCAAGAGTTAGTATCAGTAATGAGAAACAAACAGCTTACTCTAACGGAGAGTTAGTTTTAGTACTGAGAAACAAACAGCTTACTCTCATCGAGAATTAGTCTGAGAAAGAGAGAAACAAGCAGCTTACTGTTAGTTTCAATAGGGAGAAACAAACAGCTTACTCTCACCGAGAGTTAGTATCAGTAATGAGAAACAAACAGCTTACTCTCACCGAGAGTTAGTTTCAGTACTGAGAAACAAACAGCTTACTATCACAGAGATTTAGTCTGAGTAGGCGATCAAATATTTTGTTAAAAAGAAAATGACGCCACAAGAAATCCACCAGAACATAGAAACAACATTCATTAGGAAAGGATGTTCCGGCATATTTAACAATGATAAAATAGTGTGCTGAGTTTAAGTGCAGTAGACAATCAGGTCGACCTTCAACATAGACCACAACAGTTCATGATATGGTTGTATATGATAAAAAAATTACCATTAGGAAGTTAGCAGAGAAAGTGGGAATCGGTAAGAGTACTTTAGCAAACATTTTCAGTGACAGTTGGGGTAAGAGTAAAGTTAGTGCCAGATGGGCTCAAAAACGTTTTCACCTGAGCAGAAACGGATCCGAGCTATTGAAAGACTACGTCTACTCCAAAGATTTCGATAGATTCGTATCCATGAATGAAACGTGGGTTAACCACTTCGACCCTGAGAGAAAAATGCAAAGCTTGCAATGGAAATACCCAAGTTCACCCACCTCAAAGTTCAAGTCACAACTCTCTGTTGGGAAGATCGTGACATCAATTTTTTGGGATGGGACGCCAAGAGCGTTTTACTAGTTGATTATTTGTAAAGGGGTCAAGCCGTTAAAGATTACTATGCATCATTAATCAACAATTTGCGTCAAGAAATCAAACAAAAGAGAAAAGATCGCTCAATAAAGGTGTGCTCTTCCATCGGGACAATACCTCAGCTAAAAATCGCATGTTGCTTTGAAAGCTATCCACGGTGTTGGTTTCGAATTATTCAATATCCCCCTTACTCGCCGAATTTAATTTCAAGTGACGATTTCTTCTTCCCTAACTTTAAAATCTTTCTGAAATGCCAAAGATTTCAGAGCGATGGTGTTCTAGTACAAACTGTCCAGTCATGGATTGTGAACCAAGAAGAAGAGTCCTTTCAGAAGGGCATAAAGGCTTTAAAACACTGCTGACACAAGTGTATAGACTCAGGAAGAGATTATGTTGAAAAATAAATCATAATTTAGCCAGTGTCTGTTTTCTTTATAGGTCGGGCCACGAATGTTTCGGACGCCCCTCGTATTTTGATTATTTGTGACATATAGATACTTTCAGCGTTTGTTCCTCATGCCAGAATAAGCCGGCGTGGTAAATTACTTCAATAGACATTTCTATGTGATGAATCAACCCTCTTTGGATATGTATTGAATATATAAATCCCTTTCAGGTTATCATGAAGGTCGATTAGTAGTAAATTACAGTGTGCAACAAATTATTGCATCACACAACTTTTTTCACACTTTTCTTCGTTCTTGTAGCTGTTTACGAGATTGTGTATTGTAGAAGTGTCAGAATTGCTGTAAAACGGTTATGGAGATTGTGTGGTGTAAGCTAATTAATATTTCAGTCATTCAAACACGTATATAATCTTTATTAACAAACCAACGAAAATATTGTTTGAGTAAGAAAACCTAGATTTAAAGATAATGCCACGAATGGTCTCAGAGTCTGTGTATTGTTTTAATATTTGGTTGTGCCCCCTCTGGCCTTGATAACTGTTCGACATCGTCATGGCATGGAGTGCACCAGGAACTGAATGTAGGTAGGGATTAATTCATGATTAGGACTTTCTGCAGTTCCAAGGTGCTTCTTGGTTTCTTCATTTCCACTTTACTTCCCATTACCTTCCAGCAGTTTTCGAAAGGATTGAGATCTGAGCTTTTGATTGGCCTTGCGGATGCTTGACATTTGCATTCAAATATGCTGGATGAAACTCTTCTCCACATCGACGTCGTACAAAGTGCTTCCCATCAGACCTGTGAAGGTTGAACTTTGGTTCGTTTGAGTAGATCACTTTGCTTCTCATTTTGCAATCCAGCCTGCATGCTCTTTGGTCCAGTTGAGCTTCATCTTGTTGGTGTGGAGGGTTTTTTTCTTGGCCATCTTCCTGGGGGACCGGCTGAACACAGGCGAGACTGGACGGTGCTCGCGGTGACAGTGATCCTGAAGTTTCCTGCCATGTTCTTTTGAGGTCTGTGGACGACAGTCGACGATCGTGCAGGTTCATGCGTTTCACAATATGATCGTCAGCTGCTGTGAAGCTTTCTTCCTACATCTTCTCTTCTGCCTTGCCAAACAGCCAGTTTTTCTATATCTCTGCACCCAGCGGCTCACAATAGACTGGTTAAATTTAATTATACTAGCAATCTGCCTTGTTGAAAGTCCCTCTTGACTGTTTTTTTACTGTGGAGTTAACTCGTAACCCTAAGCCACGGTAGCATCACACGCATGTTGTAGCAGATAGGCTTCTAAACTGTCTCTCAGTAAGAATCTCTATTTATAGCCAAAAACGGCTGATGCCATACCCAGATGCCCATAAAGCTGCTGATGCAATAGATAGACAGTACTGCATAATCCATGAAACTCATTTGAACCTACATGCATTAGGGTCTCAAAACAGACAGTTTTCCGAAGAAAAGTGTGGAATGATTGGGTGATACAATACATTTTTCCTCCACTGTATTCTACATTTTAAAAAATACAACAAAAAACACCTATTTAGGATAGTTAGTTCTGTTAATTGATATTTCGTAATCTAATGATTTATTTAAGCATTTAAAAAGTTTCATTTCTATTAATATTCAAATATTTTGTTCTTAGAAACACAGATCATATCAAATTAACTTAAAAGGGGACTTACTTCAAAACAGAAGAAGAACAATCTGGAAAAACTCGCTACTTCAATATCAGGTTTTTTTAAAATGGAGAAATTTGCACCTTCTGTATGCGCCTCGCGATCACACGACACGCGCTCGTGGAAGCAAAATAACGGTTGGAGACACCGCAACAAATGAACGTATCTCAGACAACTGTTCAAGGTGGTGTGACGTCTAGCGCACAGTTTCTGTGTGTTTACACAATCTGCAGAAGGCAATCAGTCAAATAGCGCATTCATCTCCCCAAAGAGATTAGCTGACGATTCGGGGTGTACATGTTCAATAGCAAGATTACCACATTCGTGATAACTCTCGGAAGCGTTATCTCTCAAGAGGTAATCCCCAAAAAACTGAGTAGACTCATGAAACTCAATGAATATCTGAAATAAATTGCAAAAGTTGTTAATTTAAACTAATCCATTGTTTTCAGGATTTATTTTTTGTGTGCCCACATACAACAAATTTTTCAAAAGTGATATCATTCTTATTATTAAAATAATACTCTAAAAAAAGATGGTTCCATAAAAGAAAGCTCTTTGATTGATGAAAAGAAAACAAATAATAATTATTTCTGACATTTAATGAAAAGCTTCGGTGCATTCACATTTCTCAAGTCTGGGGTTCTTGAAGCTACAGGGAAAGGTATAGTTAATGCCTTTCCTACAAACAAGGTATTCTATACACTCAGTGTTCTTTATGTACATGAAATTTATTTAGCATAATACCCAAGGTTTAGAAGAAAATTTGTTTGTGCATGGCATAAGTCCAGAAGATTGAGTACGTTCTATTAAAACTATTAAGAATCCGCAAATCAGAAAGCCACTTGAAAAATCACAGCCGATATAAAACTGTATAGGAAGGTATTTATCAGAAATATATTTTGACATTGTTAGGTGTTACATAGATCACGCGATACCATCTAAAATTAATCGATGTGGGTAAGGTATATAACGACCCTTTCCAATGCAAGATATTCATATACTCTGCTCATAAGGAAATTTCAAGGCGGGAATATCCATTATACTTAATGTCATTGAAAAGCAAAGGAATACGAATCAGCTTGGGGCACCATGACCATTCAGAACTATACCTGCAACAATTCGTACTTGAACTGTGGAAAGTAAAGTGTGTCGTCTTGTAATAAGTGAGAATCCACGAATACAAAGGTAAGTGACAAAAGCCGTCCAAATGCCTCTGGAAACAGTGCGCAACATAATTAATAAGTATCTTTAAAAACGACACAGACACGTGTACAGTACGTAGGGAGGAAAAATGGCAGTACCTGGCACTCGACGAAGCGTATATGTATCGTAATAACTGTTAAAAGTATCGTGTCATGAAAATGACTACAACAGTGGTACATGGCATGTCGCAAAACCTTTCAGAAGAAATTCATTATCATTGCTGGATAATGCAGTTATTGGAAGCTAGGGATCAGGAGAGTGCATGGATACAAAGATCAAGGTAAATTCTGCTTACTTTCAGACCAATGTTCTAGACCCTTTGTACTACACAGTAATATCGGTTTTGTAGGAAATGATGCCAAAAGGGTATGGGATCATTAAGATAAGGGTTCCAGTCATACACTAAGCAGGTGAAGAATAAAATGGGTATTCATGATATTTCATACTAAAACATACAGATCAAGTTGAAGTGTTGAAAATGGCGCTGGAAACAATGCAGGAAAGAGTGGTTTAATTTAAACATGACAGCGTTACGATAGAGTCTTTTGTAACGGATACTGCGCTGCAGGGATAGTTTTAAGATCCACGGTCATCAGAGCATAACGTGGCGAAACGGTGTGTAACAATATAGTGAGGTTCCAAAAATGTTTTAATATAACATGCTCAACTCTTTGTATACCCAAATAATCTTGTTTCTTTTGAAAATTTGTTAGCGCATGCGTTCAAAACGCAATAATATTCAGCGTGAATTTCGTGATAAGAGCATTATTTAACTAAAACGCGGGACTCTCTATATAAATCACGTAGAAAAATTAACGTAACAGTTCAATGTTACAAACGTGTATCAAAATTCACGAAATAGCAAACAAAGTTATTGTTTATTGAGTGTCTCGCTCAGCCTGGAAAAACACAAAAATGTCAGTGTATTGCGAATATGAATGAAGGATTAACATATATACATTATTATTTTGTAATTATTAAGTGTAAATCTATGATTGGTCAATATATAGAGACAGATAAATGGATGGAGAACGACACATAGAAATAGAAAGAAAAACTGAAATACATAGACAGATAGGCGCGAAATGTGTTTAACAGAGAAAGACAAGTAAATAGATAAGAAGATTGTCAGAGGCAGAGAGAAATAAAACATTGCTTTAGAGGAACAGACATACAGAGAGACATAGATCGAGACAAAGAAAGACAGAAATGATATAAGAGTTTGAATAACAAATACGAGAAGACCGAGAAACTGTTATAACAACAATTCAGTCTCTTGTGAAGCTTTGAATTTCCCGTTATTTCTTACGTCATTTTTGTGTTTGGCAATATCGAAAAAAAACACTTTTTTCAACAATTTCAAGCCTTTTCTCTAAATAAATAGGAGTTTCTTTCTCATACTGATTAAATCTAAGGACCTTCATCGTTTGTGTATAGCTCTAACATTAAGTATTCCACTGAATAGAAAACACGTTCATTCTCTGAATCTCACGTGACTGCTGTACTAGTCTAGTAGCAATTGATTTTAAGTTTAAGTTATAAAAACGAACAATTTCCAAGAAGTCTAAGAAGTCTACTATTTCATCATTGTTACAGCCAGAATTTCATGAATCCAATAACGGCGAAGATTAAATTGAAAGCACGAATGCAAAGACTCACTTCAGAACTAAATGTATTGGATTTGAGAGCGGCTTGTGCCTTTCGAAGATGAGAGAAAACTCGTGGACTCAAAAGAGTTATTGACAACATAACATTTATTATTATTTGGCTATGTAAAGCTTAAAAACTTAAAATATAGAAATAAATCTAAATAACAGGTTTGCGATGATGTAAAAAGAGGAAATTCTAATAATTTAGAATCTAAAAATTATTGATTAGATTAATTTAGAATAGTTAGTAATAAATTATTCAAATAAAAGAATATCAAAATTGGTTGAGATATTTTACTTGTAACGAGGTACACACATATTACAGCACAAGAACAATGTGTGTGTGTACCTTATACGGAGTTGTCCCTTAGAAGAAAATACTCGATCAGTATTGGTTAGTAACATGTCTTTATGAAGGAAGTACTTGATCAGTATTGGTTAGTAACATGTCTATATGAAGGAAGTACTCGATCAGCATTGGTTAGTAACATGTCTATATGAAGGAAGTACTCGGTCAGTATTGTTTAGTCACGTGTCCAAATGCAGGTAAAACTTGAACAATATTGTTTAATCATGTGTCCATATGAAGGGAAAAATCGATCTGCATTGTTTAGTCACATCTTCATATGTAGAAACAACTAGATCAGCATTGTGTCTGTAAGAAGAAATAAGAAAAGACCTTTAGAGCATTGTTCATCATGTGTCTGTAAGAAAAAAATAAGAAAAGGCCTTTAGAGCATTGTTTACGTATGTATCTGTAAAAAGAAATAAAAGAAAACCTGTTAAGCGTTGTTAATAATGTGTCTGTAATAAGACATAAGAAAAGGCCTGTTCAGCACAGTTCAATCATGTGTCTGGATATCTTGTAACACTCACGTTCTAAACTAAAACGTTTCCAGAGCACATTTTTCTGATATGAATAATATATATTTGACACAATTCTTTTGTACGCAGAGTTGAGATATAACTTATATAAAGCACTGTTTGTGATTATGAGCATTTGACCCTCACAATTTTACCAAGGAAAGTCTTTAGCGACCAAGATTTACCCATTTGTAATTATAACATTATTCGACGGACAAATACAAAAAACAAACGGTACTGAACATTCCGTAAAAAGAACTCTAACAATGGCGCGTAAAATCATTTACCACTTGTCTTTCAAACCATTGTAACATCTTACATTTGGTAGAAACTCCCTTCCTTCAAACACCGTGAATTTGTTGTTTCGTTCGATAGAAAATGTTGTGAAACGTTGAATAAATTTCAAAGTAGCTAAAGCCAACAGCCATGCAACCAGCCAGAAATTATTATTGATCACTACTGCGTACACAAAAAAGAACGTTTTTAAATCACATATACAGCTGCACTTTGTAGACCATTTCAGGTTGTTTGGTGCTGACAAAACCAATAATCTCTCTTCTCTCGTATTGTACAAAAAAAATTGAGTGCCAGTTGAGGCATAGAAAGCAAGTACCCATTGAAAAATACAAGCATTTTCGTTCGATTGAATAGGTATAAATATTGCACACCTATTCTTAATCGAAAAGCACCGCACGTGTGTTTCATGGATTCCCCTTCCCAAACTAGTTAGGTGGTAGATAGGCTTATCAAATCAATGTTTCTTAACAATAGTTCCCAGGGCATAAGTTATTTGGTTGAAATGTTTCACTTGCGTAACAGCTTTTTTGCTAAAACAAATATTATTACGTTCAAGTTAATGCGCTGGAAAAATTTGTCGCGAAATAGGAGAAGCAAAGGATACAGTGAATGTAAAAGTCAACGCTTCTTCACATAAACGGATATGTGCACTTGTAGAGTTTCAATTGGTTTAAATACACTTTCGTGTCTATAAATGGTTTCCTCTTTTCCACACGATGAACTAGAAATCAAAAGTCAGGCAAAACAGATCAATTTCTGGGTTGGATTTACGTTATAGTGAATAAAAACCCACGAGACCGTGAGAAAACGTTAATATAGTTATATAGTAAAGAATGTATGAAATGCTTACAGAAATCGAAACTATATTGAAGTCTTTTCACGCTAAACTCTAGCACCATATTAAGGTCTTTTCACTCCGGACTTGTTTGTTTAAGCAGTTCATTAAAATAATGAGAAATTATTCAGTTATTAAACGTTTTATGTTAAACTCGGCTTTAAAAAAATCCCCAAGTGATAAAGTATTGCTAATACAAGTGAAATTATCAGTAATGTTACTCTTCTGTTTTGGATGAAGCTGATAAATTA